GTGAGTTCAAAACGACAATCGAGGTCTCTGAGTGTTTCTTCCCATTACGAAGCATTTCTCGTGGATAATCCACTGCTCTGAGATTTCTGCACAGAAAATCACTTCCTAACTTCGGTCATTAGTTACTCCAAATGACTGTGGAGTTCACCCTAGCACAGCAATTCAGCTAAGCTAGCCACGTTAGGGCTTAACAAGCATTGAATCAGTGACAGCGGCACAGATCCGCGTCCCTTACCAACTGAAAGGTAATTCCCCACAGGAAGCCAGGTGTATTTCCTGGAGAAAATCACCTTCCTGAATTTAGGTCCTTTAAGAAGCCTGACAAACGGAACGCCATGCCATGTGAGTTTCCTCACAATACAATAAGCCAACTTTATTCTAAGTTCTTCATTAATGTCACTAGTCAACTCATTTTATGACTTATATTTCCAAAATATGTATAAAACTCAAGGAATTGTTTAATTTTCCAAAATATATTGTAGTACACACGACACAAAATGTGTAATGTCAGAGTCAACAGTCACATGGAATTTACTACTCAGCTGACTGGCTGAGCCAGCTGGGCAACTGCCATTCAAATGAACTGGAATTCAAACAGGTATCCAGGCATTACAGACTTCTTTGAATACCATATTTAGGACTAGAAGCAGCATTTAAAAATAAAATGAATGAAATAATTACCAATATATTTAAAAACAAAAAATGGTTCACAATGGTAAATGCAAAATTTCAATTGCAAAATAAAATATTACATTTAATATGTAAATTCAATTTAAAAAGTTGCATTAAAATCGCAATTTAAAGGTTACAACAAAAAAAAAAAAAAGTTAATGTGTTAAATGGAAAATTAACCAAAAATGAATAGTCATAATTTACTCATCCTCGTATTGTTTCAAACCTGTATGGATTTATTTTCTTTCTGCAGAACATAAAAGAAGATATTTTAAAGAATGTTGGCAACCAAACTGTCAAAATATACAATGGAAGTCAATGGGAACCAAAACTCATTGATTACGAACCAAAATATATTTTTTCATGTTCCACAGAAGAAAGAAAGTCATATAGGTTTGGCACAATGATGACTGAATTTTCATTTAAAAAAAAACATTTTAAACAAATACATTTGAACTTAAATCATTTTATTATTTTACTGTTACATTTATTTCTCTCTTCAAAAGAAAACATAAAAAATGGCATACTTCTTCTTTATATGATTATTTAACAATCTAAAGTCATTTTCCACACCTACCATAAACGGCAGTCCTAATTTTCCTCATCACTGCATTGACACAGATACTGACAGACAAATGAAATCATAAAAATATTCCTTAAAACAAATCATTATTTACCCGTGTCCTTATCTGACTCAGCTATGTCAGTCTATAGCAGTTCACTAATGCAAAGGTCTAACTCTCTGCAGGTGGCTAAACTCATTTATAAACTCCTCCTGAAAAGATTATTTAGGAGAGCGTATTCCCCAAGGGCAGACTGTAAATACCCTGCCATAGCTGTTCTATTCTGTTGAAAAGAAAGTCTCCCGGGCCACACAATGTGCTCGGGCCCCAGTGTTATGATGAAAACCTCTGGGATACCCTGCCCTTTGGAGTCCTCCACATGCACCAAACAAGCTCAATAACAAAGCACAGGGGGAAAAGAGATCATAACCATGCTTTCTTTTTATTTCTCATAAGCTTCCACAGATAATAAAAGAGCAGCTTCTCTGTAGGCTTAATTAAAACAGCTTGAGGGGACATGAAAACCACATAAGCACAGAAGTCTATTCCAGTGTTGTACGGTTGCAGTCCTAGCACAAGAGTGTTGATACTTGGCAGAAGACTAAATGGAAGAGATGAGAAGCTTAATCTTCTTAATATTAATTCAATAAGGTTGTAAAAGGACAACACTCAACCCACTGATTTCATTTCTGCATCACTCAAAGCTCATTAAAGAATGCAGGTGAAATAAATGCCCTGATGTTAAAAAGATAACTAACAATAACAATATATTGATTCATATCTTACCAAAAAACTGCCTCCAATAGTGCCCTCCTGCCTCTCACCAATCTACATGTCCACCACTCCAATTACTGCTGGCCTTCAAAAAATGATGACCGCAACGTCACCGCTGGCGGAGACTCGACATGATGTTGTTGCTCGCCCCAAATAATAATAGAATACACAAGTGGGCAGCCAGGCAGATTTCCAATTAACCTCCAACCGCCCTCAAGTGTGGAATCATGGTGAATTCTAATCCAGAAGATGATGTGTAAAACAGCTCCAGACTTTCTGATAGACTAATCCACCTTCTGAGGGAGTGAAAGGGCACAAATAGTGGTCTGTCTACATTTTACAAACCTTTTAAGACACCGCTTTTCACACCTGCACACCAAATACAAAGCAGAGTGAGCCAGCTGTACACCACAGCAGTGTTGAGTATTTTGATTTGTGAGGGAACATGTTTGTCATCTACTGACAGTTTTGCCCCGTCTCTTCATCAATCAAGGGTGTGGAGTGTGGAGAACAACAGAGTGTGATGTTGATTAAGACAGCTCCTCAAAGATAGGGAGAACAGAACGACAGAAGGCAGGGAAGTATAGAGGACATAGAGGAAAGGTGATGTGAAACAGAGTGGGACTGACATGACTCTGGAAAGTACAAGCTCGAACACAAACCTTAGGTTATACGCCATATTGAATTTAACACTGATGAAGACTGTGAGGGATAGACTTACAGTCTTTACAGTGCCAAACACTGTACCAAGATCCTAGATCATATCATTTTTGGCAACACACAACTTTCTATGTTTTATGGAGTTTTTTTTCTTTTTTTCGGAAAGACATTTCATCGGCTGAACAATGGTATGTTGTTAGACAACAGTACAATCCATTGAACACCCTGTACCTTTATAAACTATTAATTATAATCTAAATAATTAATAGTTGTATTGTTGTTGTTGTTAACATATCTTGTACAATAGGTTAAGCGCCTACTTTCACATATCCTTTGAGTAAAATAAATAAATACCTCTCATCTACATAATTCTTAAAAATACATTATAAAAAGTCAATTTTTGAAAAATTAAATTAAAAAAATAATAAATAAAAAAACATTTTTTGAAAAGAGTTTTAGACCCTAGTTGCTGAAATTGTCTTGTAGCATGGAAAAGTCCACCAATATCAATTTATTCTAATACTTTGCTGTCAAAAGAATTTCTAAATGTTTATGACATGCTGCTTTAGTTTCCAGCTTGACAGTCTAAAGATTGATGATTTGAGTTCAACTCCTGTTATGTTTTTCTCTCTTTCTCTCTTTTTCGTTTAGATTAGTGCTGCGGGAAAAAAAGGTGAAAAATGACAAACAGGATCAACAAAAATCTCTGTCAGCCATTTTCCCAGTGACGGTCCACAGCAGGCAAACCACAGATAAAATAATTTGCACATTAATGCAAACATTACGCCTTTAATTAGTTTGGGTGGCTCCAGAATAATGAATTAGGCTGTCTGCTACTACTTCATCCCTGTCTCTGATTGGCACAGGTATTAATTATTTATTAATCGCCCCAGGCCTACAGTGAATAACATAACCTGCTCCAATGATGAAGAAAGAGTGCAGTTTGTCTGTCGGATTGATAGACATACTTAACCATATCCAGGGGGGTGAGAACTGAACAGGACCCCACATGGGCTAGTCAAAACATTCCAGCTAAAAGCTACCATTGGTCAATATACATTTTACTACTCTCCACTAATAGGGACATCAAGCAGAATCGGCCAGACCTTATTTCCTTGTGAAATAAGAGCCGCGGGGGAACCACGGGCATCTCCTTGGCATGGAGGGTGATTAAAACATCGGGTATATAAAGATGTGGCCAATGAAATATCATCAGCCTGCCTTAGAGAGAGAGAGTGTGTGTGTGTGTATGAGCGAGAGAGTCAGTCTTTATTATTCTTTCTCTGTCTCTGTGTGTGTGCGCGTGTGTGTGTGTGCGTGTAAAGAGTAAAAGCCGTAAAAAGCACGGAAGAGGAAAATTATCTATAAATCTAAAGTCCCCAAAATGGTATGAACTCCTCTGGTA